TGGGGGTGGGGGTGGGGGTGGTAGTGGAGGAGGGAGTGAAAAATTATGCATGTCAAACACTGGCGGAGGAAAGGGGTACTGTGGCATAAGGTTATCTTGTCTCTGAGGTGGAAATGCTGAAGTCTCCTGAGATACCATATGCTCCGAGTTATAAAACTGTGGAGGAGGGGGCTTGCCATGGCAAGGTCGAGGATATCTACCCCGGGAAAATCCCCGTGTGAATTCTCTGTTGCGATATCCTTTTGAATGCTCTGAAGCAGAGCTATGAGCATTCCAATTCTGATGTACTTCTGCAAAATCTTCACCTGTGAGCAGGGTAAAAAAAGTATAGAAACAAAATTAAAATGGATTTTAAAACAACAAAAAATACTGTTTAAAATTTCAATAAAGCCTTTTCTTTCATTTCCAGTGTATCTTATTGTAGTTAAAAATGCGTAAGGCTTAAAATGATCAATTTTAAAGAATCCAAAAGGCCAGACAATCGGGAGAGGAAAAGCCAAGCAACACAGAAAACTTTTAGACAATGACCACTTGACTCCAGCCAAACAGCATAGAGAAAACTGGACACCATCATCACCCACACTCTCAAAGGCTGAGTGGGGAGCCTAGACTTCCTCCCCTTGACAGGCTGTAATGAGATGCCGCAACCTAAGAAAGGAATTAGCTAACTTTTAGAAAAAAGAATAGGAGAAAATTTTTAGGATGTAGGTTTAGGCAAGAAATTCTCAGACTCCATAAAAGAAAAGCTGATAAATTGGGGTTCAACAAAATTAAGAACTTTTTTCCTTTCAAGAGGACAAAAACATAGGCTAAAAGACTGAAATCATTATGTATAAACCCCTAATTCAAGAGTTAAAAAACAGAAATACAATCAGATAATGGGAAAAGACATGAACAAACATATCATTGCAGAGGACATACAGATAGCAAATGAGTACATGGAAAGATGTTCAATATCATTAGCCGTTAAGAAAATTCAAGTTAAAATCACAGATATTACTACACACCTATAAAAACGGCTAAAATCAAAAACAGTGACAACACCAAATGCTGGTGAGAATGCAGAGAAACAGTCACTCACACATTGGTGATGGGGATGGAAAGTGGTACAGCCACACTGAAAAACAGTATGACAGGTTCTTAAGAAACTAAACATATAACCATCATAAAATCCAACAACTGCACTCTGAAGACATTTATCCCAGAGACATAAAAACTTGTGTTCACACAAAAACCTGTACACAAATGTATAAAGCAACTGTATTCCTGTAACCAAAAGCTGTTAACAACCCAGATGTCCTTCAATGCATGAATGGTTAAACAACCTATGGTATAGTCACATAGAGCTCTGGAATGAAAAGAAACAAATTTGCCACATACAACAATCTAGATGAATTCCAGAATATTATGCTCAGTGTCAAAATCCAATTCTGAATGGCAACATACTGCATGACTCCATTTAAATAAGCATTCTTGACAGGACAAATTGTATTATAGAAATGGAGAACAGATTACTGGTTGCCAGGAGTTGAGGAGGAGGTAGGAGGGAGGAATGTGTAAGTGACTATAAAAAGGCAACATGAGGAATATTTTCCTGTGATGGAAATGTTCTTTATCTTGATTGTATCAGTATCAATATTCTGGTTATGGTATTTAATTGTATAGTTTTGCAAGGTGTTAACTATTGCAGGAAACTGGGTAATGGGCATATAAGATCTCTCTGTATTATTTCTTACAACTGCATGTCAATCTATAAAAGGTTTAGTTTTAAAAAAGAAAAAAACAGAAAAGGTATAATAAAATAAATAAATGTTAAAAAATAAAGTACCTTGAGTTAGATATTAAGTATATTATCATTTAATTCTAAATATGGAAGCCAGGAGGTTTCTTAAGAAAAAGGGCTAACAGGCTTAATTTGCCTTCTCCCCCTAGAAGCCATTTTTACATCCTTAAACTTGAAAAACTACCAATGAATATTCTCTGCGACTCTCTCCGAACACATCCCATGCTGTAAAATGCCTCCAATGCTAGCTGCATGGCAGGAGATAAAAAGAAACCGCAGATGTTCCTTCAGTTTTATTAGTGATGAACTTACATAAATGTAAGTAAAGATTTAAAAAATTACTATACGTTGCATTTACTCACCTGATTCATTAAATTGAGATCTGAATTTTTTCCGGCCCTGAATGCGATGCTTTTTCCTGTGTTTGGCTTCTTTTTCCTTTTCATCATCACTGAAATCTAAGGCCTAACAGAAACAAATATATAAATTTATGTCACATGAAATGACCAATTCTATGAATGGTACCTACTTGGAGATGAGAATAACTATTATTTAACACTGACACTGAAATATACTCTTTTGATACTTAGTAGTTTTCAGTAATGTTTGAATTAATTAGATATAATAGAAAAAGAAAGTTGTTTTTTTTTTATAAGCGCCTAAAGACTCTTAATTGACACAAGCTAGTAATGAGATGAGTCCTCAGGGTGTTTTGGTTTTTTAATTCCTAGGAAGTTTNAGATATAATAGAAAAAGAAAGTTATTTTTTTTTTTTATAAGCGCCTAAAGACTCTTAATTGACACAAGCTAGTAATGAGATGAGTCCTCAGGGTGTTTTGGTTTTTTAATTCCTAGGAAGTTTCAGATACGTAATTTTAAAATGCTGATCTTTAACAGCCGTGAGATATGGCTACTTCCTAGTGAGAAGTTTGAATTCCAGCTTAGAGTCAAGATTCATCATAGTGCCAGCTGCCAAAAATGCTAAAGAAAGGATTAGTTAGGAATAAGCAAATAACAAAGTATCAGATCTAATATAAAAACAGAAGAATATTATACCTCTCATTCAAAAATTTTCACAGGCCCATAAGCCAGGCACTGTTCTAAACATCAAGGTATTAATTTTTTTATTAGTATAATGTCAGGGATAGTAAGGGTTATAAATAATAAGGCAAAGTAAGGGAGGAGAAAGTCACTAGGGGTGCTATTTAGATAAGACTGCAGGAAAGGCTTTGATAAGCAGATACATGCATGCCTCAACTCCCAAGAGAAATCATTTTAAACTACAAGAGGGCGAGTCAAATGTAGCTAAGAATTGAGATTCACTGCTATAGCCCACCAAAAACACAAGACTTAAAAGCTTTATATATTATTACCTCTACGTTGTCTTAGAATTCAGGCATTTTATCATTCTATTAATTTCAGAAAACAGACATTATGTTTCAAAAAAATATATGAAAGCATGCTCACTATTGCCTGCATGTGTGCACATTTAAAAGGAATATAATGTATAAGATTTTCAGTTCAGTCTTGCTAAAATATATTCTAGATCAAATCTTCCATGAACCAAGAGTCCATAACCTCAGAATCCATAATCAAATTCAGAAGCATCAACTAATTTTGGTACCTTCAAATACCTTTAGTACCTTCACGATTTTTATTACTGATCTTAATGTGCTAAGATTTTTAAGCTCATGTGAAATCTGGTAACTGCCAGGCAGTAGAAAATATTGCGATCAGATAGAAAACATTTACTTCTCTGAAACTATACAGTCAGATGAGAAAGATACATACACCAATGAACAAGTGCTGCTTTAGTGCTATGACAGCACGAGGCTGAAGAAGAAGAAAAAGGGCAAGGAAGATTTCTTGGTATGGGTAACCCAAGATCTCTCTCTAATGAGGAGTTAACAGTGAAAATAAGGGAAAGGAAATTTCCAAAGAGTGAGAATATGCATAGAGGCTCAGTATATTCGAGAAGTAACAATGGTTCTATAAGACAAAGTGAAAGCTTCTTAAAGAGAAAAACCAGAGACAATGAAATCAGAGAATAAAAAACCTTCTCGTGCCATTTTAAATAACTGGGCATTGTCCAAAGAGCAGGAGGGTGGTATTAAAGGACTTTAATTGGCAATAGGCTATTTTAGAGAGACAATTTTGGCAATATTTTGCTATTGTCTCCTAAAATCAGGTAAAATTTCACATTTTCCTTGTACACAAATTAACTTAAATTTGCATTCATTAAGCACATTTATTCAACTACAAATTAAGTATTCATGTTAGAAATGAATGTGAAGATGAGTAAGATGCATTCCCTATAAGCAAGTTTTAGCTCCTTTATGCAAGCCCAATATTGCCTATTTGCACCACATGTTTTTTTTAATCAAAGTTTACACCCCACATATTCCAAATTCTAATCTATATTTAACACCAGGCCATAATTCTAAACTATAAAATGTCATCATAATAAAATAAACTTTAGAATTTCAGAGTTTTCCATATGAAAATAACAGATAATCAACTTCTTAGGGGGAAAAAAGACTCCATGAAGTATGCTCAAATTTAATTTTATAATTAACCTAATCAAACCAATTTTATGAACAGTTAGCATTACCACACTTTGATGCTTAGGTCTGAAACAACAAGTATGTATAAGAATGTCTGCATTTCACAAGAAACATCTTTCAAGACTTTTGTGAAGTCTCAAATATTTCAAAAATATGTAATTTCAATAATAAAATGCCTTATACATAAGAACATTAAGTGAATCTTAGGGGCCTTAATGGAAATCACATGTATACACAACATAAACTAGAAAATAAAATCCCATAGTAATATGGACACTAAACTAAGATTATTCATTGGTTAAGTGACCCTCTAAGTGAGCACTGCCTGATTCATGACCTCAGGAAAATTAGAAATTAACATAGACCATGAATCTTCAGCATTGCTTGAGAACATCTAAAATGAACAAAGTTAAACCTACAAATACCTAGAAGTTATAATACTGAGAAACTTCATCAGAACTACTGAGCACATATAAAAACTCTCACAATAATTATATTTTTCTGTTAAAACTAAATTCATACTATTTTCAAGAAATTTATACAATCATTGCTGCAATTTCTGTATTTTAACAACTTAAAATATGCTTAAACACTTCCATGGAAATTTAAATCAAGTAATTCTACAGATTATCACTGACTCTCTTTTACATCTCTAAAAAGACTGTATATCAAGCTACTTTAGGACATAAAACTAGTCTTGCTGGAACAGATTGAAAAAAGAAAATCAAAACTCTCTTTTTAAGAAGGTGGTTATATTGTAAAAATGGAGAGGTAGGTAGATGGTAATAATTTTGTGCCTCCAAAAGAAAGGCAGCTTATTAAAAGCATCACCATTAATTACTATCTTCATGTCTCACATGGTAAAATCACTAAATTGAAGAATAAATTTTTTTAAAATAATGACAATTCTACCTTTACCAGGTGTCAAAAATTTGATTTAAAAATAGGAAACTGTAAGTAGAATAAGCTAATAAGTAAAATGTGACCAAAATATTTTTTAAATGATCAATCAAAAATTCTTACTGAAAGGTACATAGCAGTCATGTGGGAGAAGGGAGAGTGCACTGGCTCACAGAAGGCAGAATGGGAAGCATTAAGGACCTCCACAAGGTCAACACTGATGACTTTATAACATTCAGTCCTGCCTTACTTTCTAAAATATTGTGTAAAAAGACTTCTCCTTACATCTGGTGGTGGTTCCTGATCATTCTCCCATGATGCATCCGATCCCTTCTCCCTAGGCAGAGAAAGCAGAAAGTCAAAGAAGTACTTGCTAGAAGACATGAGCTCAACTCTTAATTTTGCAACATACATGAAAATAAGAACAAAAAATAATGGACCATTTTTATGTCCTTCATTTTGTTTCAGAAGATGTGGGAAGCTCATAAGAAAAACACATTTGGACATTTTAGGATTGGGGAATCAGAATAAGCAGCCAAGGCTGTGTTGTGCAGAGGGAAGTGGTTTTGCAGTCCATAAGCATATCCAGATGCTATGACTTTGACTGATACTTTAACGATACCTGAGCTCAGTTCATAAAACTCACTTCAATAAATGCTTATTCCATACAAACTATAGGTCAGACAGTGTTCCTGGTACTAAGGACACAAAAACGAAGATGAGGCATTTCCTTGTCTAAGATTTTACAGGTTTAATGGTAGAAATAAAAACATGAAATTCTTTTCCCTCAGTTTACCTGAGGAATATCAGCAATATTCCATGAGTAACCAAGGCTTATTCCAACAGTGACTCTCAAAACAGACAGGGTAAGAGGTTATCTAGTTTGAGGAAGAGGAGGAGTTTTGAAGATTCTGAAGGACACAAGTATAATCACAAGCATTAATTACTTTGAGTGGAAAGTTTTATACTCTATGACCAACAAAAGTGTATATATCTATTTTGAGTATAATTTATGAAAGCTCATTTTAAATCTTATTAATCTTCTTGATTTCGTAGTTTGACATAGTTTATTTGATTATATTTAAATATTACAAAGTATTAGCCCTCACTGATTTAAACTAGATCTCAAAAATAAATGGGATTCTCAGGAATTCATTAAAATCATTAATCTATTAAAATCAATTTATAGATGTCAGAGGCTGGCACAATATGGAAAACATTGTTTGCTCTGAAATTTTGATTCGGAACTTTGACACCATATATGAGGCATTAGCAACAATTTTTCCACCTCTTTAAAAAAAACAAAAAACCTTTTACTTGTTAGTTATCACCTTACAACTATACATTTAACATAGTCTCAGTATTCTTTTTTTCCATTTATACCATCTCATGGCCTGTGGTGCCCTTAGCCAGGAGTGTAAAGACATAAATAGGAAAAGTGCCCCAAATAGTGCATTTAGTTCTGAAAATCAAAATCTAAAGAAAAGATCAAGCAACATTTTAAAAACCACTTTTCACAAAGTTATTTCATGGGTAGCTAAGACTGAAATAGCCTTACTAGAGGTGGTAAGCTGGAGAGGAGCTGAACTTCTCTACCTCAAAGGCAAAGTATTCCACAGAGTTCCCATGACAGACACCAAAATGCAGTCTTGAACAGAAAAGGCTTTGGCAGGTGGGGCCTCTGTAAGTGGGCCTAATTTCCCAATTCTTTAGTTTATTGCTATTTCTTTCCAGGACAAAATTCTTTCTTCTTTTCTTTTTTATTCCTGAGGATATTTTTTTCCTTTGCTTTTCAGGGGGGTGAGGGAGAGAGTGGGAGAGAGAAAGAGAGAAACATCCATGTGAGAGAGACACATGGATTGGCTGCCTCCCACACACGCCCTGACTGGGCTGGGGATCAAGCTTGAAACAGGTGCATGCCCTTGGCCTGAATCAAACCAGGGACCCTTCAGATCGACGCTCTAACCACTGAGCCAAACCGGATAGGGGCAGGACAAAATTCTTGCTCTTAGAAATCAAAAACAAAGACTGCTCCTATTATTTAAAATCTATTTAATAAACATTTCAGAAAAATTTTAGGTTTATCTGTTTTAAGTTAAAACATTTTATTTGGCAAAAGCAAAATATAAGACATATCCACAGCAACATCCTAATATTCAAAGCAGAATGAAATGCTAATTATTTGAGGCATGATATTAAAACACTTTATGACTTTACTATTTAATTCATATTTNGAAATGCTAATTATTTGAGGCATGATATTAAAACACTTTATGGCTTTACTATTTAATTCATATTTCTTGTCAGCACTCATTTAGAAAAATTAACCTTATAGAGTCTGAAAAATAACTTAGGTAAAATGCTCCTTCAGATAATTATGTGGATTCTTAAATATGAGCTGAATCAATTATCAGGAACAAAATATTCATATCTGAAATAATAAATGAAATTCGGACACTTGGTTTAATAGGTAAGTGGTATAGAGACCTTCTTATGCCTAGTACTTTTGACATAGCACTAATACTACTCACTGCTCCAAGTTCCCTTTGTATTTCCTACCAAAAAAAGCCACATCCCTAATGTTTCACCTATGAGTTATACCTGAAAGAGATTTGTGTGTCAAACTGAGTGCAGTCTTTTTGGATTTAAGATCCCCCTTCCCTCTCCCAATATTTTGTGGCCTTTCCTTCCACTCCTAATTTGACAATATTTTTAGTGGCTCATATTCATTACATCTTTACAAAGCATTCAATTAATTTTATAGAAAAAACTATTCTACTTGAACTATATGCCACTGCTTTACATAAAAAGTAAATTACATAATTGTAATAAGTTTGACTGATATAAACAGTTTTATAGCTAACACTTGGCAACACAATTAACACAAGGAAAATACACAATTAACCAGTGGGAGCATAAATATGCAAAAATATTACTACCCACATGCTATAGGCATCATTTAGCATAGTTACAGATAAAATGGAGAGCAATGACCTGGTAGTGATACCAACCATTTATCACCGCTGGATACACAAATTTTTGGGGACACATTTTAGTTGTCTCTTCTCTAAGTTTGTAACTTACAAGCACCTGAAATCCCCTTCTTTTCTTTCTTTTTTTCTTTAAAAATTACAAGTTTTACAAAACAGTAAAGCCTAGAATTTAATCCAATTAAAATTTTATTTAAAATGGAAAATAATTTTTTAAATGGTATTACTAATACTGAAGTAGTATGTATATATAAGAATGTATATAATGGAAAAACGCAATGAATTAGAATTCAGAAAGTTTATATGGCCCAAATGTATTCCTACTAGTTGATCAAATCATTTTAGGCAAAATACATAAATACATCTCTCTAGCTGTAAAATCTGATAACAAATTGTAGCTTTCAGGGGTGCTATTAGGAAGATAAATTAACTCTTTGAAAGAAAGATACCATTTAAAACTACCATTGCTGAGCCCAGCCAGCATGGCTCAGTGGCTGAGCAGCAACCTATGAACCAGGTCACGATTAAATTCTAGGTCAGAGCACATGCTTGGGTTTTGGGCTTGATCCCCTGTAGGGGGCATGAAGAGGCAGCCGATCAATGACTCTCTCATCACTGATGTTTCTATCTCTCTCTCTCTCTCTCTCTCTCCCTTCCTCTCGCTGAACTCAATTAAAAAAACATTTAAAACTACCATTGTTGACAATTATTCCTAAATATAAATATTGGATAAGCAAACNTTAAAACTACCACTGTTGACAATTATTCCTAAATATAAATATTGGATAAGCAAACAACTAAAATGTACTTACTGGTAGTGGAGGGGAAAAGTACTTACTGTCTTCCTGTGAATACATATTGGGTGAAGTCTTTCATTGATGGAGCAAAATACATAGTGTCCTTTATTTTAATACCTTTACTCTCAATATGCTCTGAAGAATTAAACCGTAACACATAAAATGGATGTGCAACGGGTCCAAATATCTCAAATATCTGTAAAATAGAAAAAACATGAAGGCCTCCTTTACATGTACATAGGGACTCAAAAAGTTAGTAACATTTAAAATGGAAAGCATTGATACCTACTATGAAAGGTAATTTTGTCAATATCAGAGGAATAAAATAAAACTATACATTAAAATATCACAACCAGGATATTGACAACGATACAATCAAGATACAGAACATTTCCATGACAGGAAAAGATCTTTCACATTGCCTTTTTATAGTCACTCACACTTTCCTCCCTCCCACCTCCTCCTCAACTCCTGGCAACCAATAATCTGTTCAGGTTTCAATTAAAAATCACTCATAATACTGCAAGGGATATTTATGATTCTATCCCAAATAGTCACGGGAAAACTTGACTGAGTGCACATAAGCAATTTAGCTAATTTAGAGTATAGAAAAGAAGGATTTAACATTATTTTTTAAAACTATCAGCTTCAAAGTATAGATTTTAGGCTGGCTAATACCTAAAAGGTCAACTGTGAAAAGCAACTTTAGACAAAGCAAGGCTCAGGCCAACCTACTTTATCTCAAAGATCCATTATACCTTGACTCCCTGCTCAGTCTTTCCACCTTACTTTGGCTATTCTGTAACTTCCACACCACCTGACCAGAGATAAAAGGAAGAAATAGGCTGCAAGGATAGTCTGAGAAACAGAATTAAGGATAGCAATTATAAGATATTTACTTTAAGGTAAGTAATTAGCTTTGTTTATACCTTAAATAACAGTATATATCTATAGAAATACTCATATAAAAATGTAAGCCAACTAATGTTTTATATTTGTCCTGTCACTTGAGAAGTGGTGTTCTAAGTTTCCTCCACATGGCTCTAACTTTTAATACTTACCATCTTGTATTCAAAAGTGGTACCTTTCTGCCAAAAGACCTCAAAGGATTCCTGTCCCCTAAAGGGGTCACAAACACACACACCGCCACCACAGAGTAGAGACATACCATGAGGTTGGTGGAGGGAAAAACTGACAAGCAGAGAAGTAAAAGTATGTTCAGTTCCCAAAATTCTCATTCCACAGCATAGGCTGGGCTTAGATGTACTGTATGCAAGATGAAAAAAGTTCCTGCAGTTGGGGGCCTGCCTGAGTCAGCTGGCTGGACATGCACAGAGAGCTCTCCAAGAGAGAATGAGCCGCACTCTCCTCCCCTCTCCACACACAGCATGCTAGATACTTAAGAGTTAGCCTAAGAGGTACTAGTTAACTCCCAGTTTCTTGGGGTAACAAGAAACATACCAAGGAGTTGCCAGGCCTAGAAACAATGATGGAGGGCTGTGCATGTAGAGGGCCAATATCTGAATGTTGCCACTGAGAACAGCCTTCAAAAAATGCCATTAGCCAAAAGCCTTACTGTCTTTCCAGTTGATCCAGCTTTTCACTAAACTAACAAGAGGGGCAAGGAGGAATGAACCCCCACAGCCAACCAGATTTGTCTCTGATCAATCACTGTATACTATGACTTCTCATTAATAAAAATGAAGAAAGTATAAAAATAAAAAAAATAAAAATAAGGAAAGAATATTCTTTTTTTTAAAATATATCTTTATTGATTTCAGAGAGAGGAAAGNATAAAAATAAGGAAAGAATATTCTTTTTTTTTAAATATATCTTTATTGATTTCAGAGAGAGGAAAGGAGAGGGAGAGAGAGAGATAGAAACATCAATGATGAGAGAGTCATTGATCAAGCCTGCAACCCGGGCATGTGCCCTGACCGGGAATTGAACCCCGATCGCCTGGATCCTAGGTCGACGATCAACTGCTGAGCCATGCCCAGCCGAGCAGGAAAGAATATTCTAATTCATTGACTAAGTCAAATACTTATTTCAATCACTGTGTATATTGCACAAGTAGTTACACAAGTTACTGAGGAGGAAAAGAACACTGTATCAGTATAATATGGGGACTTTCAGAAAATCATCACATACTACCAATCAAGCTGGTAATATAAATATTCTTTCAAAAAAGATCAGTAAAAATTCCTATCCCATATTTGACAGGAATATAGATTTCACAGTTTTGGTCTATTAAAAAGTAAAACAATAACAAAAACAAAACCTACTCTAACAAATACTGAAAACAAAATGCAAAACCACCAGCAAATTNATTGTATCAGTATAATATGGAGACTTTCAGAAAATCATCACATACTACCAATCAAGCTGGTAATATAAATATTCTTTCAAAAAAGATCAGTAAAAATTCCTATCCCATATTTGACAGGAATATAGATTTCACAGTTTTGGTCTATTAAAAAGTAAAACAATAACAAAAACAAAACCTACTCTAACAAATACTGAAAACAAAATGCAAAACCACCAGCAAATTCATGTTATATAGGGATAATGGGTGGCACAGGTTGGCCATTTTTTCAAAAATCCCCTGATATTAAAGAACTAAACATTAAAAATGAAATGTCATCATTTATCAAGAGAAATTAATCATTATTAAATCATTATTATTATTAAATCATCATTAAAAGGCAAAAGGTATAAATACAAATCTGAAATTGCTTTCCTTAAGGCAGTAGGAATGGGAAGGGAGATAGAAGAGAAATGAATCAGAAAGACCAACTGGGTTGAAAAATAAATTGTTCCTTTTTAACTTTTTGACTTTTGAGTTAATGGAGATAATTCCACCTCCTTACAAATTTCAGTGAATTTTAAAAAAATACACAAAATATTTATCACTGTGGCTCATTATTACTGTCATTATTGAAGAACACACAGAAAAGAAAAAATATGCAAAGGTTTGACATTGAAAGTAAACTAATTTAGTGTCTCGATAAGATATTCTAAAGATCTAAGACAGATTAAATTTAATTTTCTGGTCACTGGTTTAACTAGTAATACTTTCATCAACTCTCTCCCCCACTCCACCATTACTTGGGAGAATCATTTCAAGGTACTTAGATCTATAATCAAATATTCTTAAAAGACTTGTAACTTCCTTGAATTTAAAAAGCTTAATTTTTATGTAAAATTTAGACATAGATTTAACTTTTTCCTCTAGACTATGTCACATAGCTAAAGTTAGAGGTGTAAATATTATATTTGTATCTGACTCCTTTCAAAGTCAATGACAAAGAGCTAAATATTAACATTATTAGTCACCATATAGGAACGAGAATTAAAATGTATTGGAGGATATAAGAAATGTAAATTTAGAGGTTTTTAATTAGTGAAGTGTTGGGTATATTGAAATTAAAATTGTCTAAGTTAGCTACTTAGGGAAAAAAAGGCAGCTGTCATGACAATCATAAATAAAAGGAATCATGGAAATAATCTGCTTCAATTCCGTCAGAAAAATCAGTAAGTTTTCCCTTGCCTCTTGTCCCCTTCCTTCTTCTACTATTTTCTTGAGGACAGAAAGAAATGTTTTGTTTTTGGACCAGGGCAGAATGTACTATGCGACTGGCATGGAGAGCTACTCATAGCACAGTCATCTACTCATTTCCCATTCCTTTTCTCTCACCCTTCTCTGAGGTTAGGCCCCTCAGGTATCTTTAACTCCTTACAAGATACCAGCAGTACCCATACTCGAAGCAAAAGTGTGAAGCCTAGTTATTTGAAAGGGAAAAGAGTACAGCATCATCCTTCAGACATTAAAAAGTCTTTGTTCCCCTCACAAACTTTCTCAAGAATTGCCAAAATATATTAGCTTAAGATTTCAATTAATTCTGCCACTGATTGCTTTGCATTCCTAAGTGTTTTATTTCTCTTTGGTATAGCAGCCTGTCAACCTATGTGCTAGAATGGAATGAAAGAAAAAGACAGAGAAAAGGAAATGTTATATGAATAACCCAATAATATAGTTCAAAATATGCTTTTTTTCCTGATTAAATGTAAATTAGTTGTATCTCCCAGAAAAAAAAGAAGCCATGTGTTGCTTATTTGGGAAAAACCAAACCGAGAGAGCTGCTTCTCCAAAAACTAGCAGCTGGTTTCTTATTTGTTTGATTTCAACTCAATACATTTACTTAAAACATGTAACTTATGAAGAGCCGTATTTCACACAGTGGAGGAATGCTGGAGGGAATAAAACTCTGCCCCAGAAGAAACACTTGATGGGTATGTACAGTCTTGACCTGAGTTTTTTTGTCCTCTGACTGCACAGGATTGCATAATTGCTGGGTAAAAGGTGTGGTCTTCCATATCAAGGATGGAAATGCAGGGTTGTTCCATTATTAAGATGTTAAAAGAAACCCCACCTTATGATGAGTACAAATTTACACATATTCATAATTCCCCAGAATGTGCTTACAGTGAAACTTTACTGCTATTACCGAAATCTTTTTCTATTTAAGGAAACCAAAGTCTAAAGAGTTTTGAGAGCCACTACTCAATGGGAATCACAAACCAAAAGAGTTTCACAACTACTACACAGTGGAAATAGTCTCCTGTACTTAACTCTGAGTCCCTGGAGAGTAGAGAACTGTGTCTTATTCAATATGTAGAGCCACTGCCTGGCAAAGTACCTGACAAAGCATTAAGAAAATTCAATACATGTATATTTAATGACTTAAGCAGCAAAAAGTAATAAGCAGTATTAAACCAATATACAAAGTATTGATGAAAATCAAGGTGTACTAAGAGAATGTACAATCTGAGAGCTCCAGATTGTTCATCTAATAAAATTAATCTCTTTTTAGGACAGATAAAAAGTCAAAAACACTAATCAACAAGGAAACAGAATAATTTGTAGGATTTGAATTTTTTTTACAAACCTTTCCTGCTGCCTGCCGATCGCTTTTAAAAATTACAGTCTCCTCATTAACTGGAGGTAGTTGAGTCATAGACTCAATTATTACTGAAAAATGAAACAAAACAGATTATTTCAAGATTTAATCAGAAGATAATGCAGAATTTAAATGAGAGTTTAGGCTTTAATTCCAACGTAATTTAATATGAAACTTAAGGTGAAATAATATACCTCAGTAACTACTCTTCGTGGATAAACAAAGTCAATGTATTACCATATAGCACTGGGAAATAGATTCTATATATTTTTACTTAATACAAAAAGCTAAAACTCTAAGAAAGAAAATTCAAGCATAAAATCTCACAGAATATTTGACTCACCCATTAAAGTCAACAAATTCAAGCCCTGTTCATTTTCTCAAGCAATTTTTACCCCCCAAAAAGTGTAATTTAGTCACAAAACTCCTACTTTAGAAGAAATTAGTTTTCTTTCTTACTCTAGAAATTCTTTTCTATGAAGCACCAATTACTTACTGCTATATGAAAAAGTTAACTTCACAAAAGCATCTTTTTCTGAAGAGATGAAGAATGATAGAGCTCACAGTAATTTTTATCACTTTTCTTCTCAAAAAGCAAAAGCATTACTTCACTAGTCTAGCATACTCCAATTCTTTTTAAGTGCTACAAATGTTAAACAACCAATCTACTACAGCAAAGGGGGGG